TTTTCAGCATAATGACCTGTTGTTGTTTTGTACTATTGAACTGGAACTGACTCATAGCACATCCTCCAGTGGGTCTGTGGAGGCAGTTAAGGGCCCAGGAGGAGATTGCCCACCTTTCTCCCACAGAGAAGCTGGTGGAATGACCTAGTGCACTTCATTTCAGGAGCCTTCCCTCTGTTGAACCTGCACTGCAGTACATAGACTTTTTTTTTTTTTTTTTTGTACATAGACTTTTGGCCTGTGGACATAGAAGCAATTCTATTTTTATGCGGATGCCATGTAAATGATGTAAGGAGATACTGATTCTGACCTAGACCTGTTAACCACTTTATGGAGTATCCAGTTACTTTTAGACTTCACTAACACCAGCAGCCCATGTAGCATCATTCTGATTGGTCAAAAAAGAATCCATCAAACTAGGCTGTGAAAGAGTAAGGGTGGTTTACTTCTTTTTGTTTAGAGGACTGATTTTGATGTCTTAGTTTACATACTCATACTGTAGCTGCACATTACCCTGTACTTCCTGCAGGGAATAAGAAATGCCAAGGCCTCTTTTCAGTGCGAGGCTGGGACCCCAATAACCTTAAAAGATAATGAATGCTGTGTTTGCTCAGGGTTTTGGGCCTGTGTGAATGCTTTGCTGTCCTAAAGTTTAATACTTTTTAAAGAAGTATTTGTTTTGAAAATATGTCAATAGCAAAAAAGCTCAAATATATACAACACAATATCCACATTTCTTGAGTATATTCTCTTTAAACACTCATTTTATAGCTAAACAATTTCAAAATGGATAATTTCCTGAGTTTTCTATAAATAAGTGTTCTTTTGAAGAATTCCAATACCAGATGTCATTGTTATGTGCCACTGAGTCGCCTGTGACTCATAGTGACCCTATGTACAGCAGCTCTGAACCCTGCCCTGTCCTGAGCCAGTCTCATGAATTCCGACACACCAACCTCCATTGCCCCACTTACTGTATCAATCCATCTCATCTGGGATCTCCCTCTCCTGATAGCATCTGCAAAATAAAATAGGTACATAATAAATTAAAGAGGTTTTTGGTTTGGTGTCTATTTTGTTACTGACTTTCTCATGACATTTAACATTTGTTGATATTTTTTGGGGGGGCACAATGAGAAGAATGTGGGAAAGCATTGTTCTGTATTTCATTCTGCAAACATATTCTTCCTTTTGTAATTTCCATTGCAAAGCTCCAGGATAGGTTACTGTGGCTCAAGTTTTATGCCTGCTTGGCTGCACCATAGTTCTTAGTCATTTGGCAATTGTGTACACATTTCATTTGGCAGCTGTGTAATGATCTAATCAACCCCATGACGATGTGACCTGGTGTGATCATTCCATCAGTTGTGAAAAAAGGTTTCTTCTTGAAAACTTTCTTGCTTGCTCTCGATCCCCTATCCAGCTGGTCATCATCTCACATCTGATTCGAGTGGACTTATTAGCCTCTCCAGCCTGCAAGGCAGCAGCCTCCTATCTGACCTGCTGATTTGGATTTGTCAGTGTCCACAATGGCAATGAGTTAGTTTAGCTAGTTGTTGTTATGTGCTGTCAAGTCCACTGTGACTCATAGTGACCAGTGCACAGTAGCTCTGAACGCTGCTCTATCCTGAGCCAATCACATTGTCTCCGACACACCTGCCCCATTACTACAATAGCTGAGTTAATCCATCTCATCTAAGGTTTTCCTCCTCTCTGCTAATCCTCTACTCTCCCAAGCATGATATCCTTCCCCAAGGATTGGTCCCTCCTGGCGACATGCCCAAAGTGTGTGAGATTGAGTTTCACAATCCTTGCCTCTAAGGTCAGTAGAAGACTCCAGCCTGGTGCTTGGCCCACATACTTAGGCTTTGTGGCATCTGCCTTGTGAGCTGTATTTCTCTGAGACAAATCCCACCCTTGCTCTCACTCTCTCCACTTCATTGGTCTTGCTTCTCTTGAGAAACTTGAACAGGTGCTAAAAGTGATATATTCATGTCAACTGCTTTTCACACTTCTGGGTTTGGAGTAGATAATCAGTGAAGCTTTGCCATTATTATCACTCAGTCACTCATTACCATCAAGTTGGAACTGATGGTTCATAGCTGACTCGCCACTGGATTTTTGGAGACTATAAATTACAAAGAAGGAAATTGCTCATCTTTCTCCCATGAAGCAACTGGTGGATTTGAACTCCCTGCCTTTGGATTTGGCATGCAACTCCTTATTACCCCAGAGGCCACCAGATTTCCCTTTACTATCATTGCACTGTCCTTTATTTTCTTGACCCACTAATTCTGGAGGACTTCTTCCTGCCTCCTCCTCCCTTTGACCTAGCTGTGTCATCTTGCATTATTGCTTTGCCTCTGCTCTGTTTAGTGTCTCAATCATGGCATCACCTTTTCTCTTATCTCCCCGCCCCCATCCCTGTTGAAACAATGCAATGCTCCAAATTTCTTGCCCAAACAAGAAAATAGCTGCTTAGATACTTGTTGCTTAACCCATAATCTTCTAAAAGTTCAGGTAATCCTTTCTCCAGGTCTACAATCTTTTACCTGTAATTCCCCAAATCTAGCAAGTTGTGAAATGAACAAGGTTTTGTTATTCACTTGATGGAAAAAGCTGACCTGAACTGGATGTGAGGTTAAGCATAGTCTTTTTTATCTCACCTTGTATGACTATGCACATATTCTGCTACAGAAATGTTAATGTGTCTGATGAGAGAGTTGCTCTTTACCTTCCTGGAGGTGGTGTGAAATTTAGGAGAACTACCTGACCAAAATCTATAAATAATGGAATTCCAAAATGTATTTGGAACAAAATATTTCAGATAAGGAACTAAGGACGTATAATTCAAGAATGTGGCTTCATTTCAAGACTTAGTTTATTACTAGGGAGCTTTATATATGGCAGATTAAAAAGTTTCTGTCCATTATTCCTCATGAACTGGTGGCTTAGTGGTGAAGAGTTTGGCTGCCAGTCAAAGGTCCACAGAATCCACCAGCTGCTCTGCAGGAGATGGGCAGCCTCCTCAGGTGTGAGTAACTGCCTCTGAAACCCTGCCTATGGGTACGTTCCAACTCAACAGTATACAACAACAACAACAACAGATGTAAGAAAAAAGAGGCAGTAATAGGAGAGGAAGGAGGAAAGAGAACACACTGAATAATTACTGAATCAGAGATGTCTCATGATGTTACTCTTAAAACATTTAAATATTGCTGTAGAGGCTTTGTTGTCGTGTGCCATCGAGTCAGAGCTGAATCTTATCTAACACTCCAGAGGGTTTTCAGAGGCAGTAAATGACATGGGAGGAGATTGTTCATCCTTCTCCCACGGAGCAGCTTGCAGATTCGAACATGTGTCTTTGGAATTGCAGTGCAGCTGCACTAAGTTAATGCAATACATGGGGCAGAAGTAACTGCAAAAGGTAAGAGAGCTTTCCTATGATAGAGATATATGTGGCAGGAGAAGGGCTTGTGTGTGCTCATGTGGATGTCTGCGTCTGATCATATACATTTATATCTGTCTACAAGGAAGAGCATGTGAGTAGTGACCTCTGCGGGACCAATCTGTTCATGTAGGAGCACGGTGGGAATACTTAGCCTTTTTCATGGGAGTGCCCTGTGTAATATTGCTGCAGGATACTATGTGGTATAACTGCATTCTGTGCCATACTCCTCGCTTTTATATATAAGTTCTACGTTGGAAGCTTCAAAAAACAAACTTAGCTGTTTTCTAGTCTGCTACAACAACTCTTAGCAATGCTCTGTTGGGTTTTTGAGGCTGTAAATTGCAGTGAGAGGAGACTGCCTGTCTTTCTCCTATGGAGCCTGGTGGAGATGTCAACCACTGGAGACACACAGCCTTTGAATTAGAGGTGCGGCTCACTGTGGATTATGCAACCAGAGTTCTTAAGTTGTAGCTCTAAAATTCCTAGAACCGAACCATTTGATGAGCATCCACAAGTAAGGGGTTGCTTTTGTTGGCTCCTGACTTGTTTTGCACTTATAGTTTCAATGAGAACTTTAAAGCCATTTTTTTTTAAAATTATAAATATAATTTTGACTGTGTTCTGTGAAAAGAATTCCTGTTTAGCAATTTATTTTACTTATTTCTATGTTTAAAAATAAATATCTGGACAGTCACCTGTATGCTTTGTGTGAACCCATCAGAGCTCTATAGTTTGTAAACAGTGTTTTGTGATCAATAATTTATGATCTGAAATCATTGTTGCTGCTGCTTTCTAGGGTATAAACACTTTGCGTCTTTGCAAACATATATGCCAGCTCTATCTTTTTATATATGTATTCGTGAGGAAGGCTGATAAAAGGTAAAGGTGTACGTTTGGGGATGGTGTAGGGTTGTGTTGATTTAATTAGCTCTAGATGTTTTAACACTAATAAGTGATTAAAACCTGTTGATAAAATTTTCTCTGTCTTGCCTGTTTACTTTCTTGTTATACTGCATGCATTTATATCGTATTGCTTACAAACTTGCCATTGAATAAAATAGGGAGCATTTTTCCCTGGTGCTGGCATAGCCCTGCACATTTTCAGTATCATTTTTATTTTCACTTTAAAGACAGGAATAAATCTATTTAACTTGCTCTTCAATAGATAACAAATATATAAAATTGTTGTGTTTTTGTAATTTTAATAGCCTCTTGTGCCTTCATTAGTCTATAAGGAGTCTCGGGAACCTACAGCTATTCTGGTTTTTTGCAGCCTTTCTGATAAGTCCTTTATAATATAGACTACTGATTTCTTCTCTGTTTCCTGCTCATTGTTGAAAAGCCAGAGCTATTTTTAACATTTACACAATTTCGATAGATGATTCTCCCTTCCACAAGGTTTAGTGCAAAAATCTGTGGAGCCTTTCATAATCATATCCTTTTTGTGGTTTGCTTGAATTTGATCACACTGGCTGATTTCATGCATTGATAATGAAGGCTTCGGTTGCCTGTTTCTCAGCATAAATCCACCTCAGACTTGTAGGTTGACAGTGCTTCTGGTTTCTGCACGCATGGAGATATAGGATTGAAATTGCTTTGCTTTCTTTACAAATGACTCAGAGTGTGCTTGTCCTTCCCTAAAATGTTGCCGGCGTGTAAAGGATTTTCAATGAGCAGTGCAATAAGCCAGCATCTGGGGAGGTTTGGAGCTGCACTGTTATAACGTGGTCCTGTCACACAGATAATCAGGGCTGGAGTCAAGTCTCGGTGGCTCTGTGCATTGTACTGGTCACATACTGGAAGTTTTGTTTATTCAACTTGGCTGCTCTCTAGGCTGCTGAGAGCCCTGCCAGGATGTGGAGTGGACTTCCTAGCAGAGGTGAGCATTTTTTATTCTAAAACTTGGATGCTGGGATCTGGGATGGAGTGACAGATTCCTCTGTATGCTGTGTTCGATTCTGTAGAGTCGTCAATTGTGTTTATCACGTTGCGCTGACAGATGAGAAGGGGCAATACTGAAGAGCAAAATATATGATTCTTTGATTTTATGGCAAAGTTACTCCCTTAATGGGTGTGATAAGCATTCTTTCCTTTCTGTGCTTGCTGTTTTCCGAGGACATCTTACCAGTAGGTGACTTCCTTTGCATTTTAAACATTCAGAGCAAGTCGGTGATAGTCTATGATTTGCTATCATTACTGAAAGTAGGTAATTAGCGTTGTTATTATGTGCTTCAGGTATATAAAAGTGGGATATCAACTAAATGTACTTTTTAGACTCTTTGACATGAAAAATACATAGAAATGAGTCATGTTTATAAAGCAGCTAAGAAAGTAAGTGAAATGCTTTGCATACTGGAGTTGACACCTTGTTAAACTTGGCATTATTAATAATTAAAAGTTATGACCTGTCATGCCCTGGACATACTACAGTAATTGATTTCTAGTTATGGTGTGCTTTATGAGAGAAGAGAAAGATTGCTAGCATTTCTTCATATGCGTATTTTAATTAAATACAACATTTTAAATGTAGCAGATTTTATTATTTGAATGTAAATAAAATAGTGCTACTCACCTGTGAAGCTAAACTACTAAGTTATCATGCTCAGAAAGGTTTAATATAGGATTAGAAGTCTAGAATGTTTGAAAACCAGCTGGGTAAGGACAAGCCCAAAGTTACCCAGTGAGTAGATGAAGTTATTTTTTCAGGCTCTGTTAAAAATCTTCTTCCTTCAACAGAAGCTGTTCCTACAGAGGAATTGACTATGTGAGTTATGATGTATTAAAATAAAAATATGTTATTTAGTATATTTAGTGTTTTAAATGTATAGAATACAAGCCATTTTCATGTTGTGGCACTTGGGGTATGTCTATATATATGTTTGTTTCCCCTACTAAATTTATTTGAGGCAGCTTTTTAAAAATGGCTTTCAGGTCTAAAGTTATAGATAAGTGTGTGTGTGTTTGACAGAAGATTCGAGAACCCCATTTACTGCCAGTACATGTAAAGCTTGGCTAGGCAGACGCATCAGGAGCAAACCATTTGTGTTCGCCAATCTGTCTCGGCAAGTCCCCGGGTACTATCTTGCTAGAAGCCACTGTGTGCTTTTGAAAGCATGAAATTAGTTTTATACCGAGCACATGGTTTCTCATTTAGCAGCTCTTTTTATGGTAATGGTCAATTTATGGTTCACTGCCAGGATTTGGGTATTCTGTCAAAGCTGATAGTTTCTGCTAAGGTGTCTCTATGAGATAAAAAAAGAGTGGGGGAGGGACGTAATTAGACCCTCAAGGAGAGAGAACAACCTTTAACCTATTCTTGTCTCTGACTATTTTGTCATTTTTCCCAAAGTTCCTTTATATTGTTTACTCTAGAATCTACAGATTTAAGGTGCTAATACTTTCCATTTTGGATTTTTTTAAATGTGATTTAAAAATTACTGTTTATATTTTTTCACATTTTTAAAAAATCCTACGCACTGAGATGTAGCATATTTTGCAATGCTGTTATAGAAAACTACTCTTTCAGTGCTATGTTGTGCCATTCATCATTATCCGTATCTAATTGTTTAGTAATATGTCCTTGGGCATTGTTGGCAAAAATGCAGAGCTGTTATGTATTTTGTTTGGCATAAATCACCCTTCGTCTAGTGCACATATGTGTTTTGCGAATATGGTCATACAAGAAAGTAAAGGAGCCATCAGAGGATAGATTAAGATGTTGAACAATACCTCCCTTCAGGAGCTGTCTCATTTTAAAAAGTAAAAGCTGTCACCTGGCAAATTTATAAAAATATTAAAAAACAGTTCCTGTTTGTTTTGAGAGAGTGATGATAGATCAAATGTACTTGTAAATGCTTCCCTGGGCCTTTCTTTTCCCTCTGCAAATATGGTAACCCTTGTGGGGAGTTGTGCTGGCTCTACTTCATTTTGCAATAGAAAGGATCAATATTAACTACCAGGATATTTAGTGGAGTATTTATTCTTGTGCTTACTCTTTACTTAGTGGTAATGGATATTCAGGTAGGTTATGGATGGTACTAGTACATGTTTTGTTTTCTTAAGTGGCCTTATCAATGCAACTAAAAACACCTCTACAATTTTCAATTTCATATTTTTATTCTTATTAGTTCTTTGATCTTACCCTAGTTTAAATGATTGCAGATGATTAAGGCTTCAAAATAAAATGTTATTTTTTTAACTAAAGGAATATTAAATCTGCCGTTATAATGAAAGGTTTTCTATTTTTAAGAGAAGCATAGGTTAGACAACTGGTTTTTATTCTGTTTGAGAAAGTCATTCCACAAGTCATCATCAGCTTGTCAAGGGGACTTTGATTTAGATTTTTGACTTACATATAAGCATCACCTATTTTTGTTTTTTCATCTCCTCAGAGCCTATGACATAAATGATGTTTGTTGATTGAAAATTAGAAGGTTAGAAGGACATTATTATTCTCTCTTTGAAATGCTGATGATATCTTTAGTAAATGAAAACCTTTCAAGAAGCATAGAATGACAGTATTCTCTTAGAAGAATGAAAGCTGTCATATTACATAGAAAATTTACTCAGAGGGATAATTTATTTGTCTGAGTTCTTAGCACCAATTTCTACTTCATAAGAAAAAAGATCTAGAAAGTCATTACAAGGATGCAAATCTCGTGAATCTGAGTGCGTTACCTGTACTTTTGTATCAAAGGATGGCAGTTTTGAGTTCTTCTTCAGCACATTGATAAAGCAATAATGTATGAAATCTAGCAAGTGGAGTCAATTTGATGGCACTGAGAAACCTCATTGCAATGTAAGATTACTCTGCATGGCCACTAACTTTCCTTTTCCAGATATTTAATAATTAGTTCGGACTATTTATCCTGAGGGAGCTCTGGTGGCCGGGTTCCTTGGGAGTTGCATGCTGACTTAAAGGGGGTGCTTCTCTGTTGTTTGAATCCACCAAGAGCTTAAAGGGGGAAATACGAGAAATATCTTTGTCTACTTTACAGTCTCCTGAACCCTGCAGGAGGGCCAGCAATGAGTCCATTCCAGCAGGACGGCAATGAGTTTTCAAAGATTAAGAGTTTGTTGTTTGTTTTAAAGTATGTAGCTGAGATTATTTTTTTTTCTTTTGGTGAAAAAGTAAATGCTTGTTTACTCCTATTTATGAGTCAAGAAGACCTAGTTTTAGGATCACCTGATATTGCAAATAAAAAAAAAATAAAAGATTCTCAATTAAACTTAAGGTGTTTTTTTTTAAAAAAAACAGGTGGGTGGTTTCTTTGTTTTTTTTTTTTTTTTTTAGAATATGTATGTAACACATAGTATCTGGGACATTTGTGGTTGTTGTTAGGTGCCGTGCCAACCTCACAATCACTGACACACTTGAACCCATTGCTGTGGTCCCTGTGTCAATCCACTTGGTTGCGGTCTTCCTCACCTTCACTGTCCCCCCACCTTCACTGTCCCCCCACCTTTCCAAGTATAATGTCCTTCTCCAAGAGCCTCTCTGCCAACCTACCCAACGTAAGCATGATAAAGCCTTGTTATCTTTGCCTCCAAGGAGCTCTCTGGCTTCATCTTTTTCACCTTCAAGACATTCTTTAGGTAATCCATGGGATCTTCAGCACTCCTGTCCAACACCGCAACTCAAAGGCATAAATACTTCCATCATTCTTAGTCATTATTGAGCTCTCATATGCATAGCAAGTGACTGAAAAGACTATGGCCTCATCAGGTACACCTTAGTTCTTTAACTCACATCATTGCTCATGAATAATTTGGGGAGTCCCCAGTGCAATGCATCTCCTGATTGATTGTTGATCTATGTAAGGATGACATCATTAAAAGTTTCAATCTTTTTCCATCTATCATGATGTTGCCTTTCAGTCTAGTGGTGAGAATTTTTGTTTTCTTGACATACAGATGCAATCCACATTGATGTCTGTAGTGTTTGATTTTCTGCAGTAAGTGTTTCAAGTCTTCCTACCTTTCAGCAAACAAAGTTGTGCCATTGGCATACTGAAGGTTATTGATGAGCCTTCCTCCAATCCTGATGCCATGTTCTTCTTCATAGAGTCCAACATCTCGAATATTTTGCTCAGCATGCAGATTGAATAGTTATGGAGAAAGGATACAACCGTAACTCAGAACTTTCTTAATTTTAAACCATGTAGTGCCACCTTGCTGTGCACAACAGCTTTTTGGTCTAAGTATAGGTTTTTCATGAGCACAATTAAGTGTTCTCAGGTTCCCATCCTTCTCAATATTAGCCATGACTTGTTATTTCCACAAAGTCAAATTCCTTTGCATAGTCAATAAAGCACAAATAGATATTCTTCTAGAATCCTCTGCCCTCAGCCAGGATCCATCTGACACCAGCAATAATATCCCTGGTGCCACATCTCTTGTAAATCCAGCTTGAACTTCTAGAAGTTCCCTGTCTATGTACTGTTCTGGGTGTCTTTGATTGATCTTTGGCAGTATTTTGCTTGCATGTGATATTAATGTTATTGTTTGGTAAGTTCCACATTTTGTTGGATCACCCTTCTTAGGAATGGGAACAGAAATATACATATTCCAGCCAGTCGGCTGGGCAGCTATCCTCCAAATGCCCTGACGTAGACTAGAGAGCACATCCAGTGCTGCATCTGTCTTTTGAAATATGTCAGTTGGTATTCCATTCATTACTGGGGCCTTACTTTTTGCCAGTAACTTCACTTACTTCTTTCTTACTTACAATTGGCTCTTAATCATCTAATATTTCCTCAAATATTTCTGTGTTGTACATCCCAGAACACTTGATTGTGCTAATGAGAAACCTATACTTGGACCAAGAGGCAGTCGTCAAAACAGAGCAAGGAACCACTGCATGGTTGAAAATTGGGAAGG